AAATTTGTGGTGAAAATAGGATCGTTAATATTTGCATACGTTGCTTAGGTCTTTAGGACTCAATTTAGTCTTCTTTGACTTAAGTAATAACTCAATTTAGCCATGGATCGATTACTCCAAGAGGTACCTAAAGATGAATATTACGAAACATCTACTTTTTATCAGTCCTTTCAGTAGGCCTTGGATGCGTAACAAATAAACTATTCAGTTAAACAATTACACATGTTATGTTACTCAGGATAGAGTCCTTATTACAATATGTTCGTTGGAAATTGATACTACACCTACATGAAAGTTTGCAAATATTGCAAGTCCAGTCGCACTGACGTTATCTACTAACATCCGTTTCACTATCATTTATCAGTGCTTTGGAATTCAACATATTGCATTATATAATAAACTACATATCGTATTTCCACCCATCGCGGATCCATTACCGACGTCATACACCCTCGGCCTAGAAAACTACAGGTTTGGCAATCTCTCTGTGATTCATATTTTTGGAGTGCAAATGGACAGAAAGCCACAACCTACCTCAGTTAATAATACACCTTTATTGATAGATTTTAAGGTTCAATGTGCTTTGTAGACAGTTGTCCATTCATGCGTAGTGGAGAAATGAATGAATCATTTGTGGTTATTTGTGAATTTGTTAAGTCAGCAGTTGCATAGAGGCTGGTCTTTATGACAAGGTTGTCTTGTCAGTTGTTCGTGTTACGTCGATGTTAGTCATTCCTCTTGTCACGTACGTCACGCAGGTCGTGATATAGTACAGTCTGGATTAGTAGATAGAACTTTGAATGGGTATTGTTATAAATTAGTCTGTCAGTAGTCGTTGAAGTCAAGTCTGAAGAACAAACAACTAGAAGATATTTTCTGTGAGATTCTTTTGGTACGTTGTGATCCATTTTAACATTCGTAACCAATAATATTATTGTATCTGTGTAAATGCATTCATGTAACATGACGCCTTTTATCCCCAAAAGGGTAGGCAGAGGTGCACATTACGGCACTTAATGCCACTGTACAATGTAGCACCCACTTTTCACTATTTATGTTATGAGTCCCATGTAATAAGGGGTGAACCTAATCCCATATACCGAGCACAATTGCAGACTCCAAGATTTTTTTAATCCTGTAGAACTTTGAATGAATTCATTCAATATACTTTGTACAATATATCAAATAAAGTACTCTATATTCAGCCAAATATAGTGAAAACTCAATGCTGGTGCCGACCCCAAAAACTTACTGTAGTGGACTATTTTCTTAACCGCGACTCTCTTACAATTTACGTTGCATTGTTTACAATATTGATGTTTTTATCAAAATGACTATGAAAACAAAATCATGACCATTTTATACTACAAACATAGCCAATATTTCTACCACGCCAACATAAAATAAAGGCTGATTATTCCACCGATCGAAGGCATCCGATTGACGTCATTCATGAATAAGTTAGACATAAGCATCAAGTATAGTATGCTAGCAACTACACTTGTATCGACGGACGAAGACCACGCCACTCCGCCATATGCGACGCTGAAAATATAAGCTGTTAGGGCTGTCAGATTTAGATAATAAATACAAGGAATTTGTGAATTTAACCCGTAGTACGCGGTAGTAGGTAAGCGGTTAAAAGACTTTTGAATGTCAATAAATATTTTTAAAGATCTTTCGGTGAAAGTAAGTTTCATTTTCATAGCAGCAGCGGACAAATTAATGATGATATAGGTTGAATATCGATAACAAATCTGCTTTTAATGAGACAGGAACAAAATGTACATAATAAGTGCTTCTCATGATACACGCACGCATGAGAGGAGTTAATTTAAAAGGAAGATATTTTTAGTTTGTTTAACTTCATTCTATAGGCAATAAGATATTCAAGTTAAAATTGTAAACATGGATGGTATTCTGGAGAATACCTAATTCTTTTTCATTAAAGACCTTACTTGAAGAACTTGATTATCCTGGCAACCCTGCACTCGTATTATTGTTGTTATTAATTAGCCGATACTTGACACTCGGCAAGGATCGCACGGGAATGTTATTGTATGAATCCTGAATTTACTTAGCCCCAAACATGCTCAACTTAAGATTTATGATATTTAAAACTGATCTTCCTCGTGATTCATTTTCTTTTTGTGAAATTGTCAATATTTTGGCATACATATGTATGGATTCTAGAGTTAAGCAATACATTATGGTGCTACCGATGATTTTTCTAGATTCTTGGAAGACTAAGCTTATGGGTCGACGCTTACCACCTGGCGAGATAGTGGTTAAACGTCAGTCCCATCTACTAATAATAAAAAAAACTAAACTGAAGAACACAGCTGGTGTTGTTTCTTATTTCTTATCTTTTTTCTTTTTCTTTCACCACCAATAAAAATTGCCACACTATCCTTCACATACGATGGTTTGTGTAAATAGAGTAATTGCAATAATTTGCAAATGGCCGCGGCTTGCGCAAGGCGCGCCCGTAACGGTTAACGTGGTAATGGTAAATTCGCGCCAAAATCGGTCAAGTACAGAAACAAAACGTCGTCGTGACTGCACATTGAGATGTTACTGCTCTTTAGGTCGTCATAGATATTTTTATAACTTTTATTGAAAACGACTTTGGAACCTAGACGGTTATGCGGATCATTGAATTAATTTGCAAAACAAAATAAAATTCTCAAAAAACTTGTTTTCTTGGTGGCTATTCGTCTTTACGTTTATTGAAAACCTTCACTTCTTCGTTTTTGTTTTAAATATTTTTTTTATAGTCTATGTGCAAAAAAATGTTGAATTAATTAAAAGTAAGTAAAACCTTATCTAAAACACATATTTTCTTTCTTATCATTTTTATCAGCCATTTGGTACATCAGATTGACTGTAACTCTAGTATAATATGACACAATTAAACCAAAATGCAGATGTCGTAGTCAGTTAGTTATTTACATTTTACTGTTTTCTTCAATATTAGAAAAAGTGGAAAAGTGAGGTGACCTCTTCAAATATACCTCTACATAGTATCACATTACCTAAATCACACCCAGATTGAATCACACCCTGAACGCAACACAAAAAGCACCGCAGCACATTTTCTTCGGCATTACATCAACAGTAATCGGAATGTATGTGATAATTACTTCATTACTTGTCATTTCACGCAACAGCCAATTAAGGGTAACGAGTAGCGAGGCGATTGGCAAACTGTCACTATTATATACGTACTTCAAGATATAACTGCTGTGACAACAGGTGATCTTATGCGGTAGCTAGATGTTAGGTAAGAAATATCGCAAGACGCTGGGAGTAAGCTGGTGCTGTCATAAACTTGATGATGGTAATCCAAGTTAAGTACCCTGTGTTCACAGTAATAATTTGTGACGCTAATAATGTGATTTAGAATGGCAAGTCCCAAGCGGTCTTTCTTGTAATTAATAAAATTGGACTGCCTCAATGGTCGAGTGGTCGTAAGTACGACTCGCGCGCAAGGGGTCTTGGTTTCCATTCCCGGGGCGGGCAAAGTGCCTGGTATATGGCAATAGGATCATCCCCTTTTACATGGGAATCCGTTAGGATTTATGTTAATAAATAGTAAAAAGTGGGTGTTACATTATACAGTGGCATTAAGTGCCGTAATATGCACCACTGCCTACCCCTTCGGAGATTAAAGGCGTGATGAAAATTAGACTTTATCTCATAATGGTATAAAGCAGCTGTTTTAGAAAAGTAGCCGTAGCCCATGGGGATTTTTAACAAACAGTCGTAGCTTGTAAAACGTTATTGCCAAGATAAGATTTAATAGCCATTTACTGATTTTTTATATCATGAGATATCATTTTTTATAATATCAAGTTCTCAGCACCTTCATTAAATTCAATAACTTTATTCTCAAACTAAATTCTATTACCTTCTAATTGTTCCCTTTCATCAAGCAACGCTCCATCATTAACTTTTATTTCATCTTTATTTTCTTCTATCTCAACACCTTATAGAGGTACGTACTTAACTTTTTTTCTAATTAAATCTATGTTCTATTGAGATATGGGAACCCTGCGACTCCCACGCGTAGTATTGTTATCTTAGTACATTATGTAATGTCACAGTAGTCATTCTCTGCTTTGTGGCTTATTACGCGAGCTTTGTTATGGTGATGTTCATTGATAATTAGATAATAGACACCTCTACCTGCGGTTTGATTATGTAGATGAAGTAATTTAGCATTGATGCTGTTTTTTAAATTGGCGGTTTTTGTTTTGTAGTGTGAATCTGTCGCGCGAATGATATTGTTTTTTTGGTATGCTTTTTCACGCCAATCGCTATATTGCTTAAAGAGAATACAGTTAGAATTTACGACACCAATGTAATAGAAATGAATTTCCTTTCGTTTCTAAATTTCGATACACTGGAAGTTACATATGTCGAAGAGACAAGCAGTAAATCTGTAACAGCAACAAGGCAAGCCATTCATTCCATCAATTGAAAATACATTTCCTTAAATCACAAAAACTAAACATACAAACACGTTAACAGTTCCACCATTCAGCTCTCAAGTGTCTATCATTACTCTTCAAAACAATCAAAGAACAAAAGACATGACAGTCCTTATATTACGGAAATATTAGAAGACAACTAATGAAACAATTATACACTGTGGCTTGTTATGCTCTGCCTCAGAAAAATGTTCAGCTAACAATAGAGAATCACTCACTTCCTAGCTCAACAAAACATGGATTCCACGTAAATTACGCACATCACTCGCTAAAATGGGTGTAGCTTTTTACTCTTGATAGTCTATAGTTATAGTTTTTCTTCTCTTCCTATCACTTCCCTGATCTATAGATTTTCTTCTTCAGCATTAATGTCATATTTCTAACCATTTATAGTTCGTGATTCTTCATTTGTTTCTTTTTAAATGTGTCTGGTCTCAATATTTTGTGTTGTCGTGTACTTTCGTTCACTATTAACTGTTTTTACAATTAAATTGTCTTTTGTTTCAGAATCTGTAATTGGATTAGAAGCACGCTGATCAGGTAAGCTGTGATTAAAATTGTGACGCAAAATTACTATTTGATTTTCTCTCAACCTCCATGTCAATGTTTTTGTTTTACTTATAGATTAAGCTATAAGCTTGTCTAGTTAGCGAAATAGAATTATTTTTTTTTACCTCATTATAATAGATATTACCAGTTTTGTCATAAAACGTTTTGTAATAACTTTTGACGCTAGTAAAATATATTCATGAACTGTCAAGATAAACAGAAACCTGGTGTATATTATTTACATGATAATCTAGGATGAGAGAAAACAATGTGTCAGGCCTTACTTTCTAGAATTAGTTGTGGGCTTAACTTAGAGAAATATACCCACGTAACTAACTATGTACTTTTCATTGGAGCCACTTGGAGGATAGAAAATATAGAATTAATTTATTGATGACCCAAGAGGTTTTCTTCTGTAGTAAGTCACCATCATCATTCGTACTGATTTATGTTAACAAAAAATATTACTGTAGACACGGTAGACACCAAAAACATCAATGCTGTAACAACAGGCTATTTAGCAAATCAATTATGCATGCATCATCATCATCATCAATATTATGATGATTTCTAATTTAGATCAAATGACCAAACATAGGCAGATAATAAACCGGTACGACGAGTTTTGTTTTGATGACGATGAATTCGATATGGTGATCATTTAGAAGAAAGAATCGGTCAACATTGTCCATTGGCTGATGATGTCCTTCCCTTTTTGGATAAATGCGTCCTTTTATGGGTACATGTGGCGTTTCTGCTTTTCTATCTGAGGTTATTTATTTATTGAGTTAATTTAATTTATTAACTGCAATACTTCGAGACTTTAATGATTATTGAAACTATTCCTTAGCAACGATTTTATTTAGAAAACAATTGAGTACTTGCCAACTAGTCAAATTCAATACTTTTTTCGGACTGTCAATTAACGTCAGTTTTCTCTGAATTTTGTACAAGATTATGTATTGTGACCACAGACATAGAATGTCTGTGATTGTGACGTCATGTTTTTTTAGCGTCAAACAGCATACTTATTTCTTAAAAATTTGCTGGAACAATATTAAAATTAAGTTGATTCTAAATTCAATTAATGAAAGTGTGAATATTTTTTAATATTTTATTGTATTGAACAGTCGAAATAATTTACTTTTGATTAAGTAAAGTACCCAATTTCTAACGACTGGGTTGATCCATTAAATGAATCTGAGTACGACGGTAAGTCTTTTACTACCACTTGACAACTGTTGAAGGCAATCCGCTGACGCCATGGCGTTTAACGCGCGGGTTTAGAGTCTACTTATTTGCTTTTTGCGTTAATAAGGAGTGCTTAAGATGTTGAGTTGGTCAAGATCATGGTGTCCATGGTAGCCCAAATCATTTTCAGTTATAACTGAGAATATTTACAATTGAAAATTGAATCGCGGATTTATTTAATGGTTTATTGAATTATTGGTCAAACGAGAAAGCATTAAAATCAACACTCAACTAGCACAAGCCATCTTGGTCATTTGGCTTTCCACTCATCACAATTACATAAACTTGTCACTACTTTTTTCAGAGTTAAGTAAACGTCAGAACTAATTCGATGACGACACTTGCAAGTGATCATCTTGTAGTACAAGGGCCAGCACATTAAGATCAGCTTCAGCAGGTTTTCGACTTCATTACAGAACGATAAGGTTGAGATTCCGTTAATAGTGATGCCTATATATTGGACAACCTTATATGAAACCGATGAATCGGCTTCGTTATTATGACCAATAAAAATAATTTGGAGGAAAATGTTTTTTTTCCCATTTAATGATACGTCAGATACAGTGATTAATTAAATAATATTGATTGATTTATACACTCAGCTTATGTAATACATTTATTTGCATAATATCAAAATAATATTGGCTTCATCCGCGGTTACTGACGCGTGAATGTTTTTTTCTTACTCCTACTCCTCCTACTGTACTTTTTTTTAAGGGGGAAAATCATCGAATGACTGCTCCCTCCTGGGTGAGGCGGGAGGGAGTGTCAGACTCTTACTGACTAAAAGCCTTCTCCTGCACGTCGAGCCGGATCCCCGGTTACCCGTTAGGTTCTCCGCGACTCTTCTACTGTACTTGTATTTTCTAAAGAAGATACATATAGATTGAATAGATAGAGCAAAATAACAAATATACTGTGAATTTTTAAGATAACCAAATGATTATAAACTCATTCATAAAATTTATGGTTTTCTTTAATTTTCTCTCTCAGTGAAAGTTTTAATAAAACGTTATGAATGATTAGCTTGCTGTAATTATCCACGATTTTACTACAGATGTTGCTGTATTCATTGCACTGTTATTTGTAATTAATTTAACAATAAAACATCTAATAATAGTCGTATCCGACGGGATACTGAAGAACAGTTATGTATTTGTCGTGCATACATAGAGGTATTTCTCAGGGTATTTTCGTTTTAACAATGTTTGTAAGTTATGCAAGTTACATATAAGATACTACCTATGTCTAGATCTTGATAATTAAACTGAAAGGTTTTAGGGAATAGATTGCCCCGTTGGCCGAGTGGTCGCAAGTGCGACTGCCGGACAAGGGGTCTCGGGTTCGATTCCCGGGTCGGCCAAAGTATTATCAACTGGGTTTTTTTTTAAAATTTCAGTAGTAGCACGGAGTCTGGAATTGCGCCCGGTATATGGCAATAGGCTCACCTCCTATTACATAGGACTCATAACATAAGTAGTGAAAAGTGGGTGTTACATTGTACAGTGGCATAATGTGTACCTCTGCCTTTCGGGGATAAAGGCGTGATGTTATGTTATGTTTTAGGGAATTCTACTGTTTCAACAATCCTCCAATTTTTCTTCTGGGATAAGCAGCTAACCTCACTCACACGACGAAACACAACGCAACGTTGTTTCACGTCGGTTTTCTATGAGGCCGTGGTATCACTGCGGTCGAGCCGGCCCATTCGTGCCGAAGCATGGCTCTCCCAAACTTAACTCCCAAAAAGCCGGCAATGAATTTGTAACGCTTATGGTGCTCCGGATGTCCATGGGTGTCCATAACAAAGAAGAAAATTATATTACCATTAAACTGTCAAACACCGAGCGGTCACCGGTGACCGCAACCTATTGTTCTATAATTGTGTCTATAATGACGGTACTACGTAATTACGTTAATCGTCGTTTCTGACTTCAAACAATTATTTATCGGTTGCTTCATTGAAGGCCTGTTACAGAATGTCTGATTAATTTGCGGTCAACTGACACATTTGAACTGGGAAACACGTCAAATGTAACGGAAACCTCATTAGATGTTTATTAATAAACAAGACCCCTAAATCATCCTTTACTATAAAATTCTAAATAATATTGTAAGTGCACTGTAAGCGTAATTCGTTGTTTATACTATTACTAGCTAGCTTCTGCCATCGGTTTCGCCCGCGGTACCGTGGGGATAAAGAGTAGACATATGCTACTTTTTACTTGTTATTCAAGACCTTAATCTACCCCTGTTCCAAATTTTACCCCGATGCCTTCAGCGGTTTTGACGTGAAAGAGTAAGATACAAACAAACATACAAACATTTATATAATATTAGTAGGATTGTAACCTTTCTGCCTTAACTAAATAAACATAAAATTATTAGAAATTAATTGAAAATTAAAACCGAAGCGGGAAAGCTGAACATTATGTATTCATTTAATGTACCTGTAGTTAAAATGTTTAAGCCTCACTTCAATATAAACATAACTAATTAACACTAATGGTTAGTACTTAAATATACACTAAACAACTTGCAAAGGTAGAGGCCATTTTATTTTACTGTCCAAGTAAGTGCCTATTGACTTTCTCCGGAATATTGCACTCGAGAATAAGATTATGTGTATGTATAACGATATCGATATCGCTACTAAAACTATTAATGATTACAATTTCAATCGTTTTACCGTCGTTTGAGTTTCACACGTTCAGTTACTCGATGAAAGGCTACTACTGGCTTTTAGTAAAGCGATTTTCTCCGTGTCTGTATGGAAGTAGAGTAACATACTCTAGCCACTACTGTACGTCTTCACCTCGTATGGTAGAGTAACATACTATTCCACTGTAACATTTAAATTATTTTGAAGTCGAGAAAAGTACCAAGTTACTCAATTCACAGAAATTATTTATTTTATTTTTTCAGCCATGATCGTCTCACTGCAGGACGAAGGACAAAGGCCTCCGTACCGTCCTTCCACTCCTCTCTATGTAAAGCTTTTTGCCGCCAATCCTTGTCATAGATGTCCAATTCGTCCCGCCGTCCTTTTGACGTCTATTAACGTTGAGAGGGCTCCACTCAATTCACAATATCTCTATACTCCTAAAACGTAATTGGAAAATCATACCTGTAACGTTTAATATTTCCTTTAATAAATAAAATATAGGAATATTGTAATTAAATGGATCCTAATGTCCTTATTAGGAAGTTTTCAATATTCGCAAAACTATAACTTATATCGCACGGCAAAGAATCTCCAATTGGAACAGCACTTTTAAAAATAGTTTCCTCTTTTACAATGTCACAAATAAGTATAATTTTTATGTAGGTAGATAGGTATAATCGAGCTAAAATACCGTCGCTTCACAAATACAGCTAGAAAATCATGATGATCTAACAATCTTCAAAGTCGAGGTCACGACCGTCGTCGGTCAGTCATCAATCAACAACAAGTGATTGGAAAATAATGACCTTTAATGACAAAAGACAATATAAACTCAGACAATATAATTATTTGTAGATTCAAAATATAATACGCATTGCCACCTGTTGATAAACAAATTTGTAACACTTACTTTAATGTTTGTTGCTGATGAATGGAAAATGACATTGTCAGGCAGAATGTGTTCAGAGTTTGCAAAAATAGTAGTAGTGTATTATATGTGAAGAAATCTATCCCAGTCACTATGACAACGTGATGCCAGGGACTAACACCAAGTTAATAAAATAATATATTTATT